AGTTCCATGAGTGTGTTCTTCACTTTGGCTGAGATCATCCCATAGGAAAGCATTGGGAGGCTATTGTGCATGTGTGGCAAAACGCTGAGCAGTCAGATAGCATCTTCTTGGAGAACTTCAGCGCCTCCATGCAGACCCATTCTAATACATTGCCCTCAAATTAATACACTGCTATCCCTTCCTCCCCCAAATTAATACACTGCTCCCCCTCCCCAATTTAACACACTACACAGGAAAATCCCCCTAGCCCCTCTTCTCCTTCCTTAAGATGAGCCACCCATCCTCCAGTCCCAGCCCGGCTTTGCTCAAGCAGGCCAGACGCTCCTCTGGCACTGTGAGCAGAAGGGGAGGGGGAGTGGCTGGCCTGCTCTGCAGACAGATTCTGCCCTCTAGCGGCTGTTGGAGGGAAGACAAAGAAAAAACAGGAAAGATATTTCTTGTCTTGCAGCTCGTCGCACCCAAAGCGGCCCCAGGGCAGGCGGGCCGCAAATATATTCATTGTGGGCTACAAGTTTGACATGCTTGGTTTAGATCCAATATTATACATAGAATTAATGTTTTCTAAAATTGCAACCTAAGTGCACCATACATAGCTGCTCAATTAAAATTTATTTTACAGTGCTGAGGGATTACATTGGGAACTGTCTTTAGAAACATACCTAGAAACAAACTGTGTTTCCCCCAGCTTATTTGGGTATGCCTTCTTACCGGCTGTGCCATCGAATTTTAGAGTTGGTGCCATTCATTCTGATTGACTTCACCCCTTTTACAGAAAACCGTAATTGAAAATGATTTCCTTTCCACTTAATACTGAAGTCATCAGGTAACTAGATTTTGAATCTTCCCCACCTGTGACTGCAACTACTTGGGTATCACAATTGGTTGGACTTAGCATAGTGATTTTACCATTGGTTTTTAAAGGATTAATATTTTGAATAGTTTCAGGTACACCGCTCAGTTATAGAGTTCTGTGATTGGTTGCACAATAGTTTGTGAGCATTTGGCTATTGATATATTGGAAATAAATTATATTAATATCTTTTTGCAGGTAGAAAACGGTGTGTGCATGGCCAACCCTCTCCATGAACGAATCATATTAATGAGGAAAGAGGGAGAATCGGCAAAAAGTATTAATGAAATGCTGCTGAGCAGATTATCCAGATACAGAGCTTCACCGTCTGCAACGCTGGCTGCTCTTACTGGATCTACAATCTCAAACACACTGAAAGAAGACCAGACCGGTTAGTGAGACAGCTGGCATACCTGGAATACTGCCACTGCTTTTTAAATAAATATATAGAAAACAAGTCCTATCATTTTCAGGCAAAACTGGAGCAACTCTGGTGCAGCTACCATATAGACCAAATAAATATGTCCTGACATTGATTTAGGATATCCTTAATAAAATCTAGACCTTGGTGCAATAGGCAGTCTGTTGATTACATGATATGAGAATGATAGAGAGGATCAGTTTGCCTCTCTGCAATACAACATTCACAAGTTTAATCTTAAAACCCCAAATGACATGTACCAAACTGGGTAGAAAAAATGGTTGGGTTGCACTCAGCCACAATACTTCAACACAGGGTGCTACTGAGCAAGGGTCAGCAAAATTTAAGAAATACGTATTAATAAAAAAAAATCTTAGGCACTCACTGTGATTGCTTCCAGGCAGATTTATTGCAACGTTTCGACCTATACAGGTCTTTATCAAGTTTGATAAAGACCTGTATAGGTCAAAATGTTGCAATAAATCTGCCTGGAAGCAATCACAGTGAGTGCCTGAGATTTTTTTATTAATATGTACCAAACGGGGAACATCTGTCCAGTGCTGTACATTGCCATTTGGCTTGCAAAATCTGGACATTGTTCACAGCACCTGCAGCCCATTGGTGGGAGGTACACTAAATACCTACCCAGTATAAAATTGATGACCTCTACCTGCCACCTATGGGTGGGAGCACAGGATATCCCCTTCCCCCATTGTTTCTTTTCAATTGAAGGGGGTGGACAGCAATGACTTCCCAGTTGCTATTATTTAATGTTCAGTAGATATGCAGCAAGTGGGGGCATAAGAGAGGTTTCAAATCTTATGTATTTATTTGTTTACATTTGAATGTGGGGAGCGGCTAGCATGCCTTTGCCAGCCACCAAATGATTAACCCTCGCACTGCTGAATTTTTTAACCAATTGCCCATTGGCTGCTAGTCTGGCCAGCAGACAAATGGTACTTTAAGAAATAATAATTTTTGAACGTGTGTCCTGCTGTATACATGCTGTCCTGAATTTTTTCTAAATCGGTGCTTTAAATATAAATATTCAAAATCCTATACTTTTTTAGAGATTTTAGTGCAAAAAGCACTTATTTTAATCCAGACAGTGAATGCATCCATCCTGTTGGTGCAGATTCAGTCGGGATCACCCATTTTCGACTGCAATAAACTTAAATAAATCTGAGAATTGCCATTGTAGTTGCAATTTGGCCCTTTTCATTGGATTTTGTCCATTTGGAAACAAAATCTGTGTTTAGTGAAATACTCTAATAGAGATTGTCAAAAAAAAAACAGGGAGAAAGAAAACATTAAAGCAAAGAAAGATCAATATTACCGTGGGTCAAATAATAAGCAAACTAGATGCCCCAGAGTGTTTACCTCAGTTATTTGGGGGGTTTAAAGAAATATCTATGTGTGAGACAGAGACATTTCCAGAAAGACAAAGATAAAAAAACTGTTTTAAAAATACTACCCAAGCCATCTCTGTAGTAGCCACCTCTCCGTTAGTACCTTGCACCTAGGAAATAATTCAAGGTAAATATTTTTTTATTATTAATAAAGAGGGTTTTAATAGACTTTTTTTAAATGTTGCATGCAGATCATCTTATAATAAACCTTATGAAATATCTCAGCATGACTCCATAGGCACGGGATTTATTCTGCAACATTTCTAGCATACACTCCCTTTTGGTTTGTTGCTGCTTAGTTGTACTGAGCTGAAGCATTGATTTTTTTTTTTTCTTCATATATTTAGACTTTAACATTCACCAAAGATGAGAGATCACTGATCTCCCCCGCGCATGGTTATTGAATTTCAACTCATAATTTAAAGAGACACGTCATATCCCTAAAGCATTTTAGCTTGCTGAAAAGCTTTGTGTATAGATATTGGTGCGGTGTAAGTGACAAGGACCTACACCTATAAGTGGAGCGCTCAAACACAGATAAATCTTACCAAAACGTAGTCTCTCATTCAATGGTAAAATATGGGGTACATGTCAAAATAAAATACAGAAAATACAATATAGTGTAGACGGGACTAAGAAATGGCTTCACAGTGATTATAATAATGTGAGGATTCCTTGGAGGCTCCAAAAAAAACTTGGATGAGGTATTGAATGAAAATTGTGAATTTATTAGTTTAAAATAAACATAAAAACAAAGATAAAAAAAATAAAAGTCCTTTTAAAAATGGCCAATACGCGTTTCACTCTCAAATAGAGCTTCTTCAGTCAGCTGACTGAAGCTCTATTTGAGAGTGAAACGCGTATTGGCCATTTTTAAAGGACTTTTATTTGAGGACTTTTATCATCTTTGTTTTTATGTTTATTTTAAACTAATAAATTCACAATTTTCATTCAATACCTCATCCAAGTTCTTTTTGGAGCCTCCAAGGAATCCTCACATTATTATAATCACTGTGAAGCCATTTCTTAGTACCGTCTACACTATATTGTATTTTCTGTATTTTATTTTGACATGTACCCCATATTTTACCATTGAATGAGAGACTACGTTTTGGTAAGATTTATCTGTGTTTGAGCGCTCCACTTATAGGTGTAGGTCCTTGTCACTTACACCGCACCAATATCTACTAAATTTATTCAGTGGAATAGAGGATATTTCCACACTAGTGTATTGAGCTGCCTGTAAATCACTTTTTGACTCTTTTGAGCACTTTTGTTATACACACTCCTCTGTAAAAAGAGGCAACCTTTGCTTTGTGTATAGAGTGTACCCTTTTTTTGTCATTTTGCGAAATGTGCAGATTTCAACAGAAATTTACACGTTTCTAAATTAACCTGGTTACACCCCCTTGGCTTTTAAGCAGACAACAGGTGCGGTTACTTCCCGTTATGTAAGCGCAGTATAACTAAAATTGAGAGGTAGCAATTTCTTTCATTCGGGGTGTATCAATTAAACTGTGTATTTTGCATCTGGGCAGTAGAATGTCCCTGTAATTGTTTTGTGTTCTCAGGGCATAATGTTTTTGTTTTTTACTCAGAAAGGAATATTTTTTTGTTTTTGTTTTTTTTAATCCCAGTGTAATAAATTTGAGCTGAAGGATATCTGAGGAGATTGAGCGTATGAAAACCATAACTCAATACACCTTATACATCACACAATAGATAATATATGCGAATTGTATAGAAATAATTCATACTGCACAGTAGATTTATGATTGTCCTTGATTTTCTAGCTGCGAATACAAGCTGTGGCCTGCCTTTGAAAGTTTTAAGAAAAACTCCAATGTATACCTGTGGAACATACTTGGTACTTCTTGTACCTCCTCCTGGAGGATCGGGGAGCTCAGCAACAAGATCTCTCTTTGGTGGAACAAGTGGTTTATCATCTCTGAAAAGTAAGTTGTGGAATTTGAGTTGCTGAGTATGCTGGAAGTGTGTGTATATGTGTGTGTGTGTGTATGTATTATACACAGTGTGTATGTATGATATATATTGGGGATACTTTTAAGGAGAGTGACAAGTTTCTATTTTTTATTTATATATATATATATATATATATATATATATACACACACAAATGGAACAAATTGAGAGCACTCATTGGATTTAGTAAACAAAAAAATATATTAAATCAAACGCATATAAATCAACGTTTCGACAGTCTATATATCTCTTTCTATCTATATCCACTTGCACTCTGGCTTCAAAGGTAATAAGACCGGGTGCTTGAAATCTGGGGAAGATATCACATACCAATAGAGAGGATGACCAGCACTCACGGATTTCCAAGAAGTAATTAAAAAGTTATAAATTTATTAATCCATCTCTTAAAAAGCTGCTTCAACGTTTCAGTCCACGTCTGGGACTTTCATCAGATTCCTTCTTGGAAATCCGTGAGTGCTGGTCATCCTCTCTATTGGGGGGGTGTGTGTGTGTGTGTGTATATGTATGTATGTATGTATGTATGTATGTATATATATGTATGTGTGTGTATATGTATGTGTGTGTATGTATATATATATGTATATGTATATATATTAGAGAGAGACATAAACCGTTTTAATGGTAACGGTATGCCAATATATGCATTTTACAGCAGTTATATCTTCTTTTGTTCAAAATAAACAACTGTAATTCTTTTCAAGATATTCAATGTCTGACAGTCTACATGTCAATTTTATTATCCTGCTCCCCAGTTTCTTCATTCATTTTCTCTGCTTTGCCTTCCATATTGACTGACCACTTTTTATTCACTTATCCCCCCCTCCTCACCACCCTTCCATCCTCATCATGCTGCCTGTAGCAATCTCTTACTGTTCTATATCCATTTTCTCCTTTCATTAGCTTGTCAACATAAGTGCATTATTTATAATTAAGGATATAGGGCAGATCATCTTTAACAAGACACAAACTAGTCTTCAGCCTGTGAATAGATCACCATGGATAAAGCAGGTACAAGGACTAGAAGCTGCGTAATATGCATATTCACTGTATTTTATTACGTAACTCCTTTTGACGCGGCATTTGTATCCTGTTACAGTTCTTGCTTCCAGTCTGGTCTTTAATATTTCTGATGGGCAGTTCACAAACAGAGTTGATCTTATAGATGCTGCTGGAAGCTCTCTCGGCCGTGGTGCACTAGTAACAGGACTTGGTAAGAAATTCTGTATAATCCACCAGGGGATTCTCCTCCCTCTACTTTTCCTATGTACTCTTGGATCAATAATGTTGAATTGCATGCTAATTTTAAATGCATTTTCCATGTTCATTGATTTTTTTTTTCAGGTTTATACTATACAGAGATAAAGATTTTCAAAATTTACTTTGCACTATCCAAACTTATTTTTTTCCACTGTTTATACTCACCTTCTAAATCCATTTAATGAGCATGCTATATAGGTATTGAATGAACTTCTGACAAATGATTTATCCTATAGCTTTAATTTTTATAGGTTAAAAAACATTAACACTCTTGTGTCAAAATTGCTCAAATTCTCCCCAGAACAAAGGGAATAAACCTACAAATTCCATAGCTCACGTCCTTTGAATCTGTATGTGACATGTGGACATTTAAAGTACCTGTTGAATGATCTGCTTAGTGCAATTATTTTTTTTCATATCATTTTTTTTTTATTTATTTTTTTGCCCTTGCAGTAGCAAATGATATTCAGCTCAAATCTGCTTTGAGTTACATTATTAATATATATATATATATTTGTTATTCCCAATTACATTTACTGGGTAGTTTTAGGTTTTATGTATATATTCCACATGACTGTTCCTCAGTTGTGGAAGCTAATTTAATGTATATGCCAAGCACTTGTGTAAGGTCTACTAAATGTGACATATAAATGACAAGTTAAAATACTGCCATTGTCTGTGTTCTTCCCACAGGTGCTTGCTATGACACTATGAATAATATGATCTGGACATGCTCCAATGATTATATAGATCAGTGGTGTAATCCAGGCAACCAAGCTTTCCATGTGGTATGTCAGAGACTTGGTGTCACTCACATAATCGCTGATCCCAAAGGTATGATGCCATCTTTATACAAGGAAGTATTAAGAAGTATTTCAATGAATCTGTTGCTTAATCTCTAACTGTGACAAAATCTCTAACTGTGACAAAATCTGTAACTCCAAATGTGGCTGTTAGTTACACACCTCACTCTTTTCTTAAATCCTTTACACTGATAGTGCAGCCCTGTCTTAACTTTGTAGATCCATTTGTCTCGTGTACAATCTACCAAAGGTTCACATTGCTTTGAAGATATACAGTAGCTTTTAAACCTGTTTGATTTCCTGACTGTCATGACCATATTTATCAGATAATTTGAATGTATTGAGATTGAGCGGTAAATAGCATTTTTGGCCAAACTTTTTTTTCATTACTGTGCACTGTAGTGTTGTCTCTGCGACCAGCATTCAGAGGCAGATTAAGGTTGCCCAGGGACCTAGGCAGGGTGACATATATGCGTGCGCCATATAAAGACCCCCTTCTAGATCCTTGGGCTCTGTTTCTGTGAGTGGTGTGTGTTTTGACTGAATGTTATGTGTGTGTAGTGTGTAGAGGAGGCTGAGAGTTGTGGGGGATGCTGAGTGTAACTTGCATTGTGTGCCTATGTATGTCACTGAGAGTGTGTGTGCAATTCTGACCAAGTGTGTCTGCCTCTGGCATTTTGTACCCCCCCAATCCTGCTTATCTCCTGGGAAGGAAAGGGCAGTAATGCATTCCCTAGTGGTCCATCGGACTCCTGGTGGAGTCCTAGATCTGTGGTGGAGCAGATTATATTAGTTACTCCTTTCTGTCCAACACTGGGACTCCTGGCACCTGCGCTCTGCCTCCCTCACAGAGCGCTGGAACTGCAAGAGACTGCAATTAGATCACAGACCACGAGTGAATCATTTTTATTTAAAGGGCCATGCTGGGAGATATTTTGATAAAAAATCAAATCTTTTTTTGTAATTGTGGGTATTTTTAAATGCCACCAACATTTTTTTTGTTACTTTGTAGAAAAGTTCAAACAGTGTATAATTTCTCTAGTTGTATTTATCCTAAATGCTGCATGGTCTTTTTGTTTTCTGCAGGTGAAGCTGTAACAACAAGTGAAGTTATTAATCAACTCCTTCACCACGTTGGTGCCATGTGCATTCACCAGCTGAATCTCCTGTCCACCAGCAATAGCTTGCCAATCACAAGCTTTTTAGGCAAACAACATCCAATTGAATCTCATCATCTGAGCAGCATATGCGACATTATGGAGAAGGCAATGGTCATTGGGGATAAATGCATTATCCGCTGTATTCTAGTGGTATTTCAGGTACTGTAAGATTACAAAACTTTCAAAATAATTTATGGATAGACCAATGTGTTCAAATGTGACCCTGCACCCCAGTTACAGTCCAGGTGATGGCTTCGGTAGGACACTGGAATTAAGCAGAAAATCTTTCTGGTCATCATTAATGCTACAGACCTTTTTGTTTTACAGGTGGTATTCAAATTCTTTCTGAATCCTCAAACAGAAAGAAATCGAGAAACCATTCGGAGAGCTGGGCTGTTACTATGGCAGCTTCTAATGGCACCTAAGGACCAAATATGTCCTGAAATTCAAAAAGAAGTCTGTCTCGCTATTAGGCAAGTTACATTTAGAGTGCAGTGTCTATGTAGGTGCCAAATTCACAATCATATCTTTTTTTTTTTTTTTTTTTAATCTATATGTTTATTATTGTTTATTTTACTTATCTGTTATTGGCCACCTTCTTGAAAATATGTATTTACTTATTATTTGGAAATTAATAAAAAAAATGAATAAAATGGTGGCCAGTAGCCAAGACTCCTTGCAGAACGGAAAATAACACTAAAATAAGCTGTGTTTAGAATAGACTTTTAATTTTGTTCGTTCAATGTGTTCTTTTAATCATTACTGCTTTTAAAATATCTTTTTTAAATTTATGACTTGGCATTTACTAATGGTAATATTTATTACTACAAGAAGAATATGTATAATTGTGGTTCTTTTTCTGATTATTTAGATCACTTTAAACATAGTAAAATAGCGCACTATAAATAGGAGCCTGTATATAAAACACTCACTACAACCATTAACAGAGGAGAAAATTGAAAGCAGAATAATAAAAAGGCCTACAGAGTATTGGAAGTTATGGGAGAGTTGAAGCTGAAAGGAACACTATAGTCACCTAAATTACTTTAGCTAAATAAAGCAGTTTTAGTGTATAGATCATTCCCTTGCAATTTCACTGCTCAATTCACTTAGGAGTTAAATCACTTTGTTTCTGTTTATGCAGCCCTAGCCACACCTCTCCTGCTATGATTGACAGAGCCTGCATGAAATAAAAAACTGGTTTCATTTTCAAACAGATGTAATTTACCTTAAATAATTGTATCTCAATCTCTAAATTGAACTTTAATCACATACAGGAGGCTCTTGCAGGGTCTAGCAAGCTATTAACATAGCAGGGGATAAGAAAATCTTAATTAAACAGAACTTGCAATAAAGAAAGCCTAAATAGGGCTCTCTTTACAGGAAGTGTTTATGGAAGGCTGTGCAAGTCACATGCAGGGAGGTGTGACTAGGGTTCATAAACAAAGGATTTAACTCCTAAATGGCAGAGGATTGAGCAGTGAGGCTGCAGGGGCATGTTCTATACACTAAAACTGCTTCATTAAGCTAAAATTGTTCAGTTGACTATAGTGTCCCTTGAAGTAATCAGGAATAGGTTTGATTTTATTTAGACAGTTACAGGTATTTGAACAAAGTTACAGAAACTATATTTTTCATGCTACATTCTTTTAGGATATCAAAGGTTGGCATAGTTTGGAGACCTGATCTGCTTACAATGATTTTATATTTTTATTCCAGCTATGGTTTAAAAATTTTGAATCCAGGAGAGCAAGGAATCAATAACTTGCTCAAGCTTGTATTAACAGAAGGTAAGCATCCTTACAGTGACTTTTATGTTGTATTTTGTATGCTGGGCTTTTCTATAACAAACTTAAGAGAACACATTTTAAAAGCTTTTCTGTGTTGAGAAGACCTTATGTGGGTATTCCCTTTATCCCCACATAAACACAGAAATATACATACAATATAAGGTGGAGTATATAAATAGTAGTTCTTCCAATGTTAAATTCAATAGAATAGTGTCCTTTAGCAATTCCCTAAATTGGAACTCAAATAAGAAGAGAAATAGTGCAATATTGCCAATACACAATATATTATTGTAGTATATAGATGGTAAAGCACTCACAAACACAGAGCCACTGAATAGGCTCAAAAGATGAAGCTCTGTGGGTATTTAAGGGACCCACTCCCTTCTTGTTATGATCTGAGGTGTCTCAATAACAGGATATCCTCTCAAGATTTAGCAAAACAATAAAGTGCTTTATTCAAAAGTG